GAAATCTCTAATCTTTACTTTGCTTAGTGCTGATTAGGTTCATGTCTTATCTTATTTTAAGATCGTTGCCTAATTGTCACACACAATCTCATATGACAAGGAAGCTTGTTTTGTTCTTATCAAAGTTGAGACTGAATTGTCATTTACTTCTCCCTTTGTTTTGGGAAGAATAAAATAATCCAAAGCCAAAAGCATAATTTGATAAGTTGATGGATGACTCTGTAAGCATAACATTAGAGATCAAAATCTATTCCTGTTATGGGTATTGAAATAACTAAGTCAATAGAGCCTAAAACCACCCTAGATGAACTGTATATCTCAAAATGTATTAGTACATTTTGGTAGGGTACCCCTTGTGCTAGTACCCCAAAAAAATAAGTGTCCCTGAAATACTCTCAAAGTTCACAACACTTTAGTAAATTAATTGAAGAGTGTTGGTTAGAATGAAATATATAATTGTATTCAATCCATTCAAAATTTTATGTGTAACACAGACATTTAAGAGCTATGAACTTATGATTTCTTAACCAATACCTTATTACATTAGTTATGTAGATCCAAATTTTATTTATTAACATAGCCTAAAATTTAAGCACAAACAATTTTCATTTTTGAAGGATATCAAATTAAATTTTCTTACAAAATTTTATAGACATACTTTTGTCTTTAATTAAGACTAGTTTTCTAATGAAAATTTATTTAGTACAAATTTATAGGTTTTTCTTCTTCCTGATGAAAAGTGCGTCCTCATAATTTTTTTGGAACTAATTTTTCTGTTTTTCTTCTTCTTAGCTTATAGATCTGTAGTGGGTGAATGTGCCCACAGAGGTTTAGAGAAAATTAATTATTTTTAAATGGAAAACTGTCCTTGTTTTAAAACGATGTTCCTATTTTTCTAACCAAGTTTGCTACGATTATGGTTAGAATTTGGCATAATTTTATTATATGTGATGAATATTTCCACCACGAGAATCGCAGCACTGCTTAATCTAAAAGCTCCTCTCTTTCCCAATTTCTCTTTCTTCCAAGGTGCAGCCCAATCTCTCTCTCTCCATTTTTTTTATACTTATTTTCAACATCAACGAAACAATGGCTGCAAAGGGTCAACAAAATTTTTCGACCCTTTATGCCCACTTGAGTTTCATGCCTAAAAATGTTTCCTTTCTTGCTATTCAGCAACAAAAATGTCAACTTTATCCGCTATTTTACTTTTGTTGGTCAAATATGAGCCCAATTCAATTCTATTTGGTTTAAGCTTTACCTAGGTCTTTGTTTTTTTTTTCTCTTGTTATTTTAGGCCCCCGAAGGTTTTTGACTTTTCCACGTTTGCAACAACAGTGTAACAGGGTGAGAAAGGGTTTTGCCAAAAACATGTCTTTGAGTTTGGATAGTTATGACTTCAGTGTTGAAAACAAGATTCTACCAGCAACAGATGGTTATGCTGCAGAAGCAGTAGAAGCTTTGAAAGCTGGCAAGGTTATTGCAGTACCCACTGATACACTCTATGGCTTTGCTTGTGATGCTTGGTATGATGCTATTTGTGTTAATTATACTTTTATTCATGACCCACCATTCTGAATGCCTGCAATATATTTTGTGTTTATTAATAAGATCTTTAAAGTTTCATTTGCACTTCACAGTTTCCACATATTTAGACCATCCTTATTTCTATGTATAAAATTGTAATCTGAATGATCGTGATTACATGTTACCGTCTAATGGACCATGTTGGCAGCTCGTTGGAAGCAGTAAACAGGATTTATGAAATTAAAGGCCGTAGACATACAAGCCCTCTGGCTATATGTGTTGGTGATGTATCAGATATGGACCGTTATGCTGTCATTGACCATTTGCCCCATGGTCTACTTGATTCCCTCCTACCAGGGCCTGTTACAGTTGTACTCAAACGAGGTTTGTAATTCATACTCATATGTGATATGTCATGGCGAAAAATATATATTGGAAAATGAAAATTATGGAAGTAAACTTTGCAGATTGCAGAATAGAATACAACATATGTTGAAGTCATTTTGTTCACCAAAATTGTTTGAAGCAACAGTTTAATTGTATATCTTCAATGCTATTGTCCAAATATCTTCTGTTAATCTCAGATGTTATTGTAAATATATATATCGTCTGATAGTATACTTGGATATTTTACAGGAGAGTCGAGTGTTCTTGAGCAGTCATTAAATCCTGGATTTGATAGCATAGGAGTAAGAGTGCCTGATTGCAATTTCATCAGAGTCATTGCCCGTGGTTCAGGAACCGCGCTAGCACTTACCAGTGCAAACCTAAGTGGACAATCAAGTAGTGTTAGCATAAAAGGTTTTGAGAACCTATGGGAACATTGTGCTTTTGTTTATGATGGTGGTGTTCTTCCATCAGGTCCTGCAGGTTCAACAGTTGTGGACCTCACTACACCAAACCAATACAAAATACTTAGACCTGGAAGGTAGTTTAGCTAAATTCTTTTCTGCTGCATTGTTTAAAACTTGGACCATGCTATATTAGATGCTGATGCCAAAAACCATTTACATCATATGATATTTGTTATCTAATATAGAATTGAATGGTGGGATTTTTATGTTCGAATGTTCCACCATGGACATTTAAAAATGAATGACCCTAGTTTCATCTCCAGTTATCAATGAGTGGTCCTTTGAACTTCTTTGAGCCCTATGATAGAATATGAAGTGAGGTTGCTTATTTTGGTTAAAATGTAAAATGTGATATTTCTATAACAATGAATTTATTGTTGTTACAGTGTTATATTGATTGTGTTGTTCTTCATCTGTTGTTTGCAGTGCAAAAGAAGAAACAGTTGCCATCTTAGAGAAGCATTCTTTGGTTGAGGCAGAAACCACTTAAATGAGCTTTTGATTGATTTGCAATGACACGTTCTAAGCTTGCAAAAGACAATTCTTTGGCTTGGACATGTGAGACAAAATGTAACCAAGCTGTCTATTGATTTAGATTCATTCTCTTGTTTAAATGACAATTCATTAAGGGGTCTGAATAATACATATATCATTATACATTAGTTGTCTTATATTACAAGTAAAAGTTTTCACAAATTAGTTGTCAAATTAATAATATTGGTCATTATAATAAAACTATGTTAAATAGATAAAGATGGACAAGACATCATAATGTGAGGAATATCCTTGATTGAACAAAAAAAACTCAGAGAATTAGCTCATTTTATTTGTGCATATCCTTCATTAAGTCCCAAAACTTAAAAAGTAATATTTCACTGAACTTTTAAGTGCTAAATAGGTTGATCCTAACAGAAGGATATAAGGAATAATTAAAACACTACTTGCATGCAAATTAGTTTTGTCTATAATTGGCTTGACCCCTACAACTATCACCCATCATTATAATAAGCACTTGTCAACGCTTTTCCTTTCATTATTCCTTATTTTCAATCCGTTCATTTTGACGGTACACTATAATTTGTTAGCTTATTATATACTGTCATTCATTTCTGAAAATTTCTATGCAATTGGAATTTGTCAAACAGGACCATAATGATATAATGGCTTCCTGTGTATATTATATACATGTGTAGGGGTTGCGTTTTGTTAGTGGATCATAGTTGAATTTTGTTATTGCTATAGCCAAGTATCCTTTTATTTGACTTCAGTTCCAATCTGTGATTAAGGTGAGATTTTGTGTTGGCTTTCTGATTTGAAGAAGAGAACTCAATATGTTAGGACAAAGGTCTCAGTTATAAGGAACTCAAAACCAGGCCAGGATAATATTGTTGATCTTCAACTTGCATCACAAGGAAGCCCTCTATTAGGCATATTTTTACTATCTGATATATATGATGCCTCTATTACTTTCTTTAGCTGTTTATGTAGAAATGTAATACATCAGACTCTATGTAAATTACTCAAATGTTGGTGAATGTTTATATTGTTTATAGGGTTATTTATAAACAATATGAAGATTATTTGATCCCCCTACCACCAACAAAAACTGTGGCTTGTGTTCTGAATCCAAATTGGTGGTCTCCTGCAGCTGATAGAACAGGTGAAAGTGAAGGGGCATGCAATATGCTAATTTATGTGCACCTCAATTTGAGGTCACTCATCTCTCATAGATACATCCTTAATGTGAAGATGTGGATTATTAATGTATTATTACATAAATGATGAGGCTTAAAAAACTATGATGGAATAATCCAGAAATAGATATTGGATGATGTATCATTCTGTTTATGATATTCTTTCCTCATCCTTTGTTTGTTATCCTGAACATAACATTTGTTCTTGAACAGTATAGTAACAATTTTCATTATTGTTTTGTCCTAAATTAATATATGTTGAAACTTTAAACAAAACATGATATTTGTTTTCAAGAAATGATGCTGCCCATATATATGTCTTTCCCTCTGATGATTGGAAAGTTTATTTTCTTTTCAAATCCAGATAGAATTAATAATAGCAGCACGACTATTTTAAGCTCGAGCAATGATATTTTCGCATCTAAATTCCTACACCACTTTTATACTTCACTTGTTGTGGAAGAAAATAGAGAATGTTGGAGTGTGTATTTTGCTTGCTTTTTTTGTCTGAAAAGAAAGTAATGTAAAAGTATCGATTTTTAGCTCATGGCAGAGTTGGCATAGCACAACGAGGAATTCCCTTTAAATATGGTGGACTGAGCAATTGCAATCTGCATAAGTTCACCAATCACAATATATATGCTTTGCACCATTCAATATACACATGATTTTATGTAACCACAGCAAATTTAGTTTTGTTTGAACATATTTTCTGGGTTTCATAAATCGACCCGGGAGTTGAGAATAAAAGTTCAGAATAAATTCTATTGAAAAACGAAGTACAAGTTTTTTATTTTTTCATTCCATTTCACGTAGACCAACACCCAGCGACTAGATTTATTTACAGACAGTGATAAACAATGTGAAATTTGGACTTCACATCCCCATAAAATTATGTTTAAGACTCGTTAAAAAACGAGCATTGAGTATATATTTCGTGAGCAATATCACTTCCACCCTTCTAATTTTAATCTCTGAACTTTGGTTGGTAAACCCCGTTTTTAATCTAACCTTAGACCTTCATTCAAAAAGTCTGATGAACGGGAAGTATCACACTGATCCACAATCCACACATACATATTTATCATGAAAGGGACAATACAAAATTACCATAGAAAACAATAAATTTTTGAACTAAATTGTAGGGCTTTACCCCGAAGGGAGCCCTTCCAGAAATTCTCGAAGGCCAAGGCTGAACCCAGGCCTAAGAGGGGGTTTGGAAATAGTTTTCAACCAGCAATAGACGCGCCTCGGTTAGAACCTCATTAGCTGCGTCATTGCCCCAAGCGCAAAGATGCTCATTACTGTATCTTAGCTCCCTTTTTATATAAAGTTGGGCAACACGTTGTTTCTATTCTAACCGGTGTGGGACTTCGATATAACACTATCTGTTTTGCTTCTTTATAAATAATAACAACACTACTTGCTGGTCGTGGAGAGGAATAACGTGGTGTGTCTCCTTGCCTTCTTTTTGGTGCTCCTTAACCAGATATTTAAGAAGGGTTCTTTTGGCATCAGGTATACACAGAGATCTATATGCTTTGCTTATAGGTGTTCATCATGAATTGGTGAACATGATTAAGGTTGCTGTTGAAGCTTCAATTCCATGATGCCACATACCCTGTAAAGATTTACATCAAAGTATAATCTGCAAACTCTATGATGGAGGGTTGGGCAAAATTGCGAAACAATACATATGACTTGCACCAGCTTACACAACTAAGGGAATATAATATCAAGAGTTCGACTTTTGAGAGCAATACTTATTGGGAGGAGTAATCATATACCTAAAAAAAATTCTTAGCTATAGGTGAGAGATACCCAAAAAAATATAACAAAGTAATATCAACATCCTAAAATTACATAATAAAACTGCGGCATTAACGGGCCTATTTTATATAATGAAGTTTGGGCTCATTAACGGGCCACAAGATAGTCCAACAAAACAAGCAGCCCCAGAATGAGAACAAAAACGACGTCGTATATGAATGGAGCTTTCCCAAAGCAAAATGGGGTTGTGGCAGTGAAACGGGGGAACATTCTTCACAAATCGATTGCAGAAAAACGGAACGATGATTAGCATTCTCACACAGGTAATAATTTCTAATATAATCAACTATCTTCGGAATCTAATTTGTTTAGGTTTTTCTGAGTGTATATGCTTTGTTTCAACCAAAGGGTTGGTTTCTGAAATTGAAGTATTTGATATTGAATTGGGGGGGTGAATGAATGCATGTATAGGAGCGGTTACTTGGAGCTTCATTGGGAGCGGTGTTGACGGGGTTGGTTCTATTGGAGCAACGCAAATACATTTACTCTTCTATTTCCAATTCTCAATCTCAATCTCAGGTCAATTTAATTCCACTATCTTACATTTTAATTCTTTCAAGTTTCATGCAATCCCGTTTAATGAATTCCATATGTGTTTTTTCAATTTCTGATATATACTATACTGTTTATTCACAATTATGAAGGATAGAAGTAGGATCTGTTGATTGGTTAATATGTTTAATTTATTGGTTACTGGAAATTGGAATCTTATGAGAGTCTGGGGGTGATGCTTATTTAGTTATATGATGAGGTAGTTATGGCTAACAATTTTTTTGATACAGTCAAGTTTTTCGTTGTAGTTTTGAAGAAAAATATGTATAAATTCTTGAACTTGTTCCTCCCAAGTAAAATATTGTTCTCCCTTGGCCTAAGTGAAAATCTTTTAGCTCAGCTTCTGTGAGAGACAGTTTTAAAAACAGAATTGAAAACCCTTGAGAATTGAGATCATTTTCTCATATAAAGCTCGCTTGTGAATTGTGAATTTTTCACCCAAATTTCTAAAGGAACGCCACTCTGACTCTGAATAGTAAGAAATCCCTGTAAGGTATTTCTTTTAAAAAAATGTTTGTTGGGCTGGTGGAGTAATATACGTTCATAGTGTCTTAGCCACTAAAAGTGAAACCACCCCAGCTGGTGGCATGTTTAGGCAGTTGTTATACAGCCACACAACATTGCGGAGGAATTTGTTTCCATTTGAGTGTTGTCTTATCCAGAATGATCGATAGCAAGGTAGAAAGTTAGATGTGAATCTGTCTTTATGCATGACATGCTGTTTCATGGTTCCCACAGAAGAATTATAATGAGATTCAGGGTGCAGATAACTAAAGTTTTTTGGTAAATGTGATGTTTTTTAAGGAAGCTAGGTATATGCATTATATTCTTACATCATGTGTTTTTCTTGGTTGACTACAATTATATGGTATATAAATTATATTGGATAGTGATAAAACTAAAATTTCACCCACTTTTACACTCTTCATCGCTTTGAATTACCATGTCTTTTGTTATTTTTATTCATTATATTTTTCATCTGTTTCAAAATTTGTAGGCTAAGCAACTTCGACATTTGAAATAATGGGCGTTCAATCCATCATACCATGTCACCCTTGTCTTATAAATTTCCGTCTTAGTTTGCTACTATTAAATTCTAAACTTTCAGCTCTGATGAACTACCAGGTTAGAGAACCCATATTTGGGAAGAAAACACGTTCTGAATTTGCACATTCATGGAACAAAGCTGTGGATCAGACATTTGGACCTTTGATAAAGTCTCTCAGTTCACGTGGATGGTAGAATGTTTTGGACGATTTCACTCTCAAATCTCGATACCAATATCGCAACTTTTGTAATTGTGATATCAAAACATGCAATACTTCCCTTTATTCTTTACCTTCACATTGTTAAATGGTTGTGCACATGAGCAGTGTTGACTGCTGACCATGTTTGAAGAGCAATGTACTGTTCTCTGTAATACTCATATGTTGCTTCAATATATGCACCAAGATACCTGATTTTCTGCATCGGAATGCATCTCATTTCTGAATGTTAGAAATTACTGATATTGTCTCTAATATCAGTCTGGTATGTTGTTCTGAATATTAATATTTTGCTGGAATCTCTTTTCATTGAAATGCACTTAATGATTCACACACTAGTCGGTATTGTTTTAATGTCTATGAGTTCCAACAGTTATTAGCTTCTTCAAGTTCTAAGATGAAAGTTATGTTTATAAATAAAGCATTAAAATGGGAATTGCATAGAAGTTGATGGAATAAACCTTAAACATAACCCAATTACTATTGTTTTAATTTTGGCTCAGGTAGTTTCAAATAGAAATTCTTCTTTTGGAAGTATACTATTGAAGGCTGAAAGAATTTAATGAATATGCCTTTTCTATCTGTTTCTTCTCTAAAATGTGATTTCATCTTTTCTTCTCTCTAAAATGTGCCGAAGATTTATGTCTGTATGTGCTTGCTGTGTGATTTACTGCACTTTCTGATATTGATGTGATAAAAGAGACATGAATAAGTCTTAGGTTCAATATCACAGACCAGAAGCCACTTAAAACTCAGTGTTTTTGGATTCCTCTGTTTATCATTTTTTTACTGGGCAATGGGGTGAAAAAGAAACTTGTTCTACTTTCGTGTCCATAACTTGTATATGTTTGATATGGTTAAGGTTATCTGGTAGAACTCCTACTTTGTTTCCACTGTTCTTCACGTTGAATTTATCATAATAGTTGCGTAGAAACTGGAAACACATGACACTGATAATTGTGAGAACATCCAAATTTGAAATTGATCACTGTCATAACTGTACATACATTGGCTAACCATGAAGTGAAAGGAAACTAGTACTAAGAATTAAGAACATTAGATACATACATCACTCGCATGTAATGTAAATGGTCAGAAGGGGAATTTTGAGGATGAGGTTTTGATATAATCATAGAAGGCAATGATCATGCATGAGATTGGACACTATTATTGGTTTGATTCATGTTGATTTGGCGAGTGACCTTCACATAGTAGATTCCCATAGCCAAAAGCACAGCAAAAGCAACAGCAAAGAAAATGACAGCTACACCAGCTCCAATTTGTTTCCTACCTTCATGTATTGCTTTGCTTTCATGCATTTGAGTAGCTTTAACTTGAGCAGCTATAGGCAGTGGTGAACATTCGGATGCAGTACATGGGTCCTTGGTCTCTTGCTTTCGTGCATTGGGATGAAAGAAGTCATATGCTGCTGGTGGAAATGCTAAAGGACTCTCATAAACAAGCCCATGAGGAGCTCTTTCTTGGTCTGTAGCAATAGAAAGAACTGCTATGGAAAGGAAGAAGAGGAAGGATAAGCCAATGGTACTCATGCTTGTTTCTTTGGTTTTTGTGCTGATCACTTGGAAGCAGAAAAGGAGGTTGCTTTTGGATGAGAATATTTGTGGATGGGTTGCATTGACATTTATAATGTCTTTAGATCATGAGGAAGTGGGTTGTTCCTTGTGCATGAATTTATGTGTTGGGAAAAGGAGGCTAATGAATGGGGACATAATTATGAGTTGCTCTTCAAGCAGACCCAACATATGATAATATATATGTGTTAAGGATTGTATTAATTGGAGCATCAGAATCAGTGGTGTCACGAGTTTAGTGCCAATTTTGTTATTTGGTTCTTCCTGAGTAAGAGAGAATGATGGCTATACTTGAGAAAGAACTAGAGTGCTTACTCTCTTCTGGTTATGTACTTCAGTGCCTACTCAAATACATACAGTACGAGTAAGTATAGACTAACTAGTAGGTAAAATCATTAGATTATTAATTGGTCATCTTTCCACAATAATGTGCAGTATTTGTTAACCTTAATTCTTGTAAAACAGTTCTCCCAAACGTGTTACTGTGTTAATAATCAAATGCTACTTGTTTAAATTTTTATTTAACTTGACATCAATTGCTTATGATGAGAAGGCTTAATTAATGATGCGTATGCATATTATGTGTAGTGAGTGAGAAGCTTTGTGCTTTGCTTTCTCTTTACGTGGAAAACCATAACTAATAAATGCATATGGGATTGCCTTTAGCTTAGAGTGGCAGCAAAGTCTCCTCCACACCCACATTATTGCTAAGGCACAAAGCGCATGCAATAACCCAATAGCATATCCTTGTTTTTAGTATTTCTACTTCCGACATCATATGATGTAACAAATATCACAAAATGATATTTTATTCATTAATGATTGATTTATAAGTGATGCATGTCACTTTATTGTGATGTAAAAAGATTTTGTATGATAATAAGGTTTACAATAATGTCATGTTGATTCATATGTTTTATGTTTTTTGGTATAACTCTATTCACCTCTATCTCATGCCTCTTCTAGGATAAGTGCATGGTTATTATGACTCTCTTTAATCCTTCCTTGTGCCAGCGTCAATAACTCACGTAAGTCACACACACAATTAATTCGGATC